CACCTGCTCGACAAGGTTGGTCGATTCTACACGTGGCAGCGTGGGGGGAGAATCTCAAGAGCAGAAGGGAGAAGAGGCGGGTGGAGAGTAGGGGGAGACGAGACGTTTTGTCGACGCTTAGTTAGTGGCAGACCTCACAAGAGGAGGAGGGAGAGTGAAAGGCAGCCGAAACTTTAAGATTGTTGATCATTATGAGTAGTCAACTTAGTCTGGTCGTCCTTTCATCCTGATCGTAGGTGGATGGAGCTAGATTAGATCGGGGGGATGCCTGAAATGTGGGCAGCCCTCATGAAATAAACCACTTTCTGCTGCGTCTTGCATCACCACCTTCTCACAGGGGGGGCGCCAATCTCCTTTGCTCTTCCCCTGCCCCTGCGCCTCCCTCCCTTCTCTCTCTCTCTCTCTCTCTCTCTCTCTCTCACCCGATCGTTGCGCAAGGGCACGGCCACACTCTTGTGCTAGCGCTCGCTTACGTCGATGGCGACTTCACTATAGTGCCCAACTTGCTCATCTCTCTCCACTTCTGTGCGATTTCTCATATCGTAGTGCTCTCATTCCCCTCTTTCCTCTCACTTCTGTGTGTGTGTGTGTGTGTGTGTGTGTGTGTGTGTGTGTGCTGTGCTGTTTCGAGCCAAATGTCCTCTCTTTTTCTCCTTCCTCCATTTAAACCTCTGCTTTTCCCGCGAAGGACGTTTTTCAGTAGTGGGTCGCGTCAAATGACTTTGCTGCTCTGATCCGAATGCAGCGCATGCCTTCAAGTCCAGGAGTCATCTCTTGCCCGACCTTTCTCTCCCCTTTTCCCTCAGGCCCTACTTCGCTTGTTTAGCCAGACAGTCTTGATTGGATTTTTGCAGCACAGCAGTTTATGTTAATATCTTAACTGCGTGCTCTCGAGTGCAATGCTTGTGTGTGATATTCGTGTCTGTAAGTAGACTTCCCCGGGGAGGAAGAGGAGGGAGGGGGGGGGAGGAGGAGGAGGAGGAGCGGAACGTTTTCCGTGTCCATCTCCCTCTCTCTGGAGACTAGTGTTTGCTTACCTCTTTTGTTTCTTTCGTGGCACTTCAGGTGCCTCTTCCATTTCATTCTCCCCCCCCCCCCCGCCGTCTTTTATATTCTTTCCACTCTTCCATCGATTCTTTTTGTGGCGGTGGTTGATTATTCAATTATCATTTATGCAACGCCAGTCATGCCACGGTGTGTGTGCCGATCTCCAAGCTGAACCTGTCGTCTCACATCTATAGTTTCTGGGGGGAGGATCTACACAGACGTATATGTTGTTTTTATTTTTATTTTTTATATTTATATATATTGTCATTGTCACAGAGCGCCAAAGCGAAAAAAACAAGAAAAACAAAAAAACCTTAAATTCGTTTTTAATCTTCTTCCTTACAACTCCCCCTGTTCAGAACCTCTTGCGTACAAGGCCGCCCACGTGGATGTAGGTTGAGCGGCGGCTGCCCCCACCCCCGTGTGTCATATAGACCTTTCTTTGTTTCGTGGATGTTTTGCTGGGTTGTGATGGGGTGTGAACCGACAGTCTGTAGAGTTTTCCATCTGGTGTGGGTGAGTGATAGTCTACTTTGATTTTGGTTAAGGTAGATTATCATTTACAGTGTAATCAGTGAGGGGATTCTGCAGACTGTTGAGGGWTCAGCCTCCTGATGAGTCGGTGAAACTCCGACGAAACAGTTTGTCACAGCCCCTCGTTTGTTGTCCTCTTCTCTCTCTCTGCCTACGGTTTACCCGGCAGTTCTGTTTGTGACGATATAGATATATATAAACTCCGACGAAACAGTTTGTCACAGCCCCTCGTTTGTTGTCCTCTTCTCTCTCTCTGCCTACGGTTTACCGGGCAGTTCTGTTTGTGATGATATATATGTGTGTTGGTTTCACGTGTGTTGTTTTTTCTGCAGGTCACAGCCATTTTTCATCCTTGCAATAAGGTGAACTGGCTCTCTGCTTAGTTCGTTGCGTTCGCCTTAACTTTTTCATGACTGCCAGTCGTTGCTTGCTTATTTGAAGTTGAGAGTGACTCTGTGTCCTCTTCCTTGCTGCCTCCATTTTTTTATCTGCCGTCCTCTTCTCCCTCCCCCTCTCCCTCTTCTCTTTGGTGCTTTTTTGTGTTGTCTTTGTCCTCCCCTCTTCTGTCTCCCTTTTCTGCAGTCTTTCGTGCCCGATCAGTCGTTCTCTGGCCGCCTCTTTCCTAACCCACACAGAGCTAGATAGGGAGCCAGGGGAGGTAGGTTGACGCCTATTCAGGCCATACTGACAAAGAACTTCCATACTGACAAAGAAAGTTACTTGGATGTATTTGACCTCAACAAGGTGTGGATTCAGTCAGGGAAGTCCTTGTGCGAGTAAGATCTGGGGGTGGTAGGTAGGTATAGTATATCGTAGTATATATATATTTATATGTATGAAATGTTGCAGAAAACCGTGCGGCGAAAACGGTCGACGGAAACGGAGGAAGAGGACTGCAAACGGGGTTTTCACCGGAAAGGGAGGAAGAGGACTGCAGACGGGAGGAGGCTGTTTCGCTCAGAAGAGGACTGCAAACGGGGTTTTCACTGGAAAGGGAGGAAGAGGACTGGAAACGGGAGGAGGCTGTTTCGGTCGAATTTCAGAGGGGACTGGAAGATGGAAACGGTGGGCTGGTTCGCTCGAATTTCACCTTCAGAGGGGACTGGAAGATGGAAACGGTGGGCTGGTTCGGTGAAATCGATCGGCGCATATATATATGTACGTATGGGGATAGATTGGGAGACTCCTGCATGGGTAGACGTCAAGTAGTCAGGAGATAAGTAGTCAGGATATAAATGAGTTGAGTTGCTATGTGTAGCTAGGTGAAGGATAATCGGCTTGATATGAAGAAGAAGATAGATCGTCCGCTGGTGGAAGCAGGTTTGTGTTTGAGCCGTGTCCCATGTTTGATATTCAGTTGTTGATGCAAACTGGTCCGTGGATCATAGGACCAGAATGATATTGAAAAAGAGAACAGGAAAGAATTCGTGATAGTAAAGAAGGAAAAAGAATCAGATTTGCTTTCTGAGTTCAAAGGTCATGTCACCGGAGGCAGGCGTGTCCCAGTAGTCTTCCTGGTTGCCTATCTCCTAGTAGAGGAGTGGTCTGTATTTCGTCTGTCTCTACTCCCCTAGTAGAGCAGTGCCGCGTATTATGTCTGTCTCAGCAGACGACCATTCTTGCTTTCACATGAAAAGAACTGTGGGAAAATCAATATTTGCTTCGAGATTGGTTTCAGAGCTCTTATTGGAATCTTCTGTGGACCCGGGGCAGGGGCCCAACCACAACAGTACTTTGAGATGGGCTTAGGAGCTCTTTTAGGACAATCTACTGTGGACCGTGGGCCCTGGCTGGAGGCCCATGTGCCGTTTTAACCGGGCCCCGGGGCTACCAGACCACAATGACTGGCCGGTGCCAGCCAAGGGGCGCCAACCACAACAGTACTTCGAGATGGGCTTAGGTGTGGACCGTGGGCCCTGGTGGGAGGCCCATGTGCCGCTTTAACCGGGCCCCGGGGCTACCGGACCACAATGACTGACTGGTGCCGGCCAAAGAAAAAAATGTCGTTCGACGAAGTTTGGTGCGCAGGGCATTTGGAGCCCCTGGAAGAAAGTGCCCTGGAGGTACTGGTGGGTTATAATCATTAGTTCCCCCTCTGCAAGGCCAAGAATCACTGACATCCATTGCTAATATCGTTCCCCAAGCCCTCACCCCCTGCCCCCCAAAGAGGGAAAACTTGTCTGGCGCCCCTGTAATTTCCATTATTTTGCGTCGCCCCCTCCAACGGCCGATTTTACCTGTTGCCCCCCTCTGACCAAGATTCAAATTTCCCATAAAACCCTTGCGTCAGTTGGGCCTAAAATAATTTCTCTCTCCACACACACACACACAGCCTTCGACAAGTATCTGGCCGGGGGATCCAGACAAAGTATGTTTAAGCTGATCAATTTTTTTTAGTTTCTCGGACCTGTAGTATGCTCTCTGTGTATGTGTGTGTGTGTGTGTGTGTGTGTGTGTGTGTGTGTGTGTGTGTGAGAGAGAGAGAGAGAGGGAGAGAGAAACTATCTGGCTGCCATAGATGACCGACATAGATACATGTCACCCTTTCAAGAGGAACGAGAGTATCTATGGTGGCCACTTTGTTTCTCTCTCTCGGAACGAAATGGCCGTGAGACCTATCTTTGGCGGCCACATGTTTCTCTCTCTCTCTCTCTCTCTCTCTCTCTCTCTCTCTCTCTCTCTCTCTCTCTCTCTCTCTCTCTCTCTCTCTCTCTCTCT